TGGAGAAAAATTAGCATCATGTGGCCTCTGTTGCTGACTCCACAAGGGCAGCTCACTTTGCCACAATGGATACCTTTGCCACCATGTCCTTTACTTCAGACCCCAATATAACCCCAATACTTCAGCAAAGTAGTCATGTGTCTGCATGTGTCTGGGGAAAGCCAATTCTTCTGCTTAGCAATTAACGATATGTTCAGGGACTGGGTGCTTCCTCTCCTTGTCCTTATTTCTGCTGTAGATTGTTTCATGACATTAAAAATGTTAACTTTGTGCTGACACTTTTAACAGGATCGATCCATTGCTGTTTGGGACATGCAGTCACCTACAGAAATTAATCTCAGGCGGGTTCTGGTTGGTCACAGGGCAGCTGTGAATGTCGTCGACTTTGATGAAAAATACATTGTATCTGCTTCAGGAGATAGAACAATTAAAGTAAGTACACATCTTTCTTATAAGTACTAGCTAGATGCACCTGTCCTTTGGACTGTAAAGGAAACTTTAGATTTAAATAAATTAAATTTGATATTCAATGACTGTATCTTCCCTAATGTCCGATCTTGAAAGAAAGATACAGACTTTGGAAGTAAGATCTTTTGAAAGGATCCTGTATATATCATACAGAGACCACATCTCAAATGACAAAGTTAGCATATAGATGTCACTCAGCACATTGGCAATTATAGACCTCTTTTAACAAAAGTGGAAAGACAGAACATACTATGGGACAGATGTATAACAAGATGAACTCGCGTCTCCAGAATAAATTGCAGGGCTGTGTAAAAGGGGAAGAGAAGAAGAGGCAGACCAAGATAGACCTTGATGCAGAATTTAGCTCAATAGACGGGCCTCAATCATATAGACATCAGGTTCATTGCATCTGACTTACAGAGTTTGGGAGAGCTGATCAGACAGTCAAAAGCAAATGGTGACCCAAAGACACGCACTGTTACAGGACTATGATGATGATGATAAAAAGTATGGCCAGAAAAGGTATATCTGGCATTATAATTTGGCTGTAGCAGTTATACAGGTATCACATTCAGAAATCCACTATTACACTTCTTATGCAGCAGCACTTGTCTATATATATATAAAAATCAATGTTTGTGTGTTTGTTTATAGCCTATAGACTTGGAAACTACTGAACCGATTTAGCTGAAATTTTCAGGATATGTTTGTTTTGATACCGGATGTTCACCCATCATGGTTTGAAATTCAACCTGTCATTGTTAGAGATAGTATGCGACAATTTTTGGAAAAACTTTGAAACTAATATTTCATTTTGAGTAACAGTTAATTATAGCCACGTTAGTAAATGCGCATGCGCCGCCGTAGTCAGAACGCAAGACTTCCACCATTCGCCGGCGAGATACGTACAGCCAAAGCCTTCTCTAATGCCTAGAGTAGGTCGTGGTACAGCAAACAAGACTATCTCTATATCTGTGCAGGCTATGATAGCCACAATAACCATATTAGACACGATTTATATTTTCTGTTTTTTTTTTAAACATCCTTCAATGAGTTGGAAAGTAGCCGATGGATTGGAAGGGAAAAAAAGGGGGAAGGGGGGGCATCAAGGACTATCTCGACGTCAGCGCAGACATTGACTGCGACATTAACCGTGTTAGACACGTGCGATTTCTATTGTTGTGCCTTTTCAATAAAATATCTGGAATATCTGTCAATGAGAAAACAATTGCCTGCTGTTTTGAGTTGTATTATAATCGGGACACTGTAGTAGGGACACACATCTAAAATAGTTTTGTTCTCCTTTCGTTGCTCCGATGAAGTGGCTGCTTGGTCGAATGGTTAGAACACTGGGCTCCTGTGCGGGAGACCAGGGTTCGAATCCGCAGTGGTTTTTTTTTTTTAAATAAACCCGGGCTAAAATAAAATCCTCACCTGCACCGTCGTGGCGACAGCACTAGCCATGTGGCCCTTAATACTAAAAAAAAAAAATGACAGGTATGTGGGTAAACCAGTTGATAATTAAATTTGACCATTTCGCATACTTATGATTTCATTTTTAAACTTTGCGATTGCATGGTTACGCTGAAATTTAATAGCTTTCTATTTATTTTCATTTACATTTAATTATTTCATCTGCTTTGGAATTTTAAGCTGTGCTGTTTACCATAGCGCTCATTTCCTAATTATGGTGTATTTTTTTCTGTTTTCATTTGCTTTTCAATTGTTTTTTTTTTCTCCCAACTACTTCTCTGAGGGAAAGAGTAGTCGGGGGAACTGTTTACTGAGAGAGCTTGAAGTCACAGTAACTGCTTTACCCACTCAAATTAGCAGCAGCAGTAGTAGTTGTGGTTAAGCTGTTACATCGTAGTGCTCTCATGTGAAGACCGCCGGTAAGGTTATGGCATTCTTCTGTCGGGAAGCGAAATTATACATCTTAACCTGACCAGTCCATGGCGACAGCACTAGCCATGCGTCACCAAATCTTCTGGCTCACGACTCCCTGTCTACTCCGATGGTAAAACAGATAGCAGTGACATTATTTTAGCTACTGTGGTGGTGGTCGTGGTAGTAGTTGTACTGGTACTTGAAGGATGATCAGTTACAACAACAAAATATCGCCAGGTGATGATTTTCAAATCCTTCGAAGAGGGAGAGAGCAGTAGTCGGTGAAAGAGGGAGAGGGGAGGGGGTAATGACTGAAATTTAAGAGAACTTAAAGAGCTTTACACGTGATTTTCAAGTTCTCATTACTTAATTTGTTTATATTTTACTTACGCTACCTCCGCTATTCTATTTTTTTTACGACTTACTTTGTTATTTACAAGTACAGTTGTAGCTTTCCTTATGTCTCCTATAAAAATACAAACAGCTTTAGCATGTGATAACCAAATAACCATTTTTGTTACTGTGCTTATCATATTTAAACGACCACTAATATAAAGACACAATTATATGGTGCGTATTCTAAAGTTGGAAAACCAGACTATTTCTATATCTGTGCAGAGAATGATTGCGACAATAACTATATTAGAAACGTGCGATTTCCATTGTCTTTCTTTTCCAAAAACCTTTGGTAAGTAAGAGAGTAGTAGGTGGATTTAGTTGGTGGCGGGGGTGGGGATCAAAGATTATCTCTATGTCTGAGCAGACAATGATTGTATTAGACACGTGCGATTTCTATTTTCTTTCATTTCCATTTAGCCAAACTATGCCACAGCAACACGTGGCCGGGTACAGCTATTTTCGATATAAAACACACAAATTTGGTATTGCATGTGTCTTGAAAAAGTATCTGGATAATTTTGACTACCAGTATCTGTCATGTTTTTAGGTGTTGTGTCTCAGAAGACATCTATATTAATAAAAATGTAAAAGTTTGGTTGGTTGTAATAGCTAATTTCCTAAAGTTCTTCACTGATTGCTTTCAAATTTTTGCACAACGATGCATTTGACTATGCATGTGTTTTTATTTTTATTGTAACAGTGTCGCACAGTCCATGAACTGCATAGCTACAGCAACGATCACATAGGTTTTTGTTTCGTTGCAAGCCCGAAATTGTTTTTAGTTCTGCAGCTTTGGCTGCTGAGCAGGGCTGCCAGTGCTTGCCTTTTCCCCCATGATTAGTACTGATTGCTTTGAAATTTTCTATTGCTTTGAAAATTTCGCACAACGTTGCATTCAAGTACATGAATGTTTTTATATAAGAGTTTCGCACAAGGCATGAACTACACAGCTCCAGCGACGATTACATCCGTATCTTGGTTTTGTTTTCTGACGATCCAATTTATTTTTCTTCTTTGCCGCGTTCACGACGCGAGTTGTTATTCACGCTGATAGGCGACCTTTGACTATTGACCTCAGAAATTTGCATGAAGCTGGTCGAAGAGTTGTTTACAGAGTGTATGAAACTTAAGATGTGGGCATTTCTTGGGTGAGAGAGAGAGGAGTAGTCTGTGGATTTTGGGGGTGGGGGGACATAGTTATCTGAAAGCTCAAAGTCCATTTTAGTCTGGGTGTACATGGATGCCAAGTTCAATTAAAAATTGTCAGTTGATGAATTAAAATCTTTTCGGGGGGGGGGGGGGGGGGGGGGGGGGGGGGGGGGGGATAGCAGTCACTGTTAACTTTAAAACATGGTTTTAATTGAGCTTAAAACCAGCTTTTAATTTCTCATATTTTTCCTTGGCTATACTCTCTGTTTTTTTTTGGTGAGTGTTGGTCATTTAGAAGTACAGTAGTCAGCTTTACTTCCAGCTGTTAGAAAAAAAAAAAAACACTTTAACATGTGGGACACAAATAACCATCTTTTTAAGTCCTAATAATACAGTTTAAACCACCGCTAATGTAAAGACACTTATTATGTTGCTTGTTATAGAGTTGGCAAATCTATCCGCATTTCTGCGCAGACACCAATTGTGATATTACCTATATTAGGCACATACGCTTTCTGTTTTCTTTCTTTTCCATTTCGAAAGAAGGAGCAACAGCAAAGTGTGGCGGGTACTGCTAGTTGAGTCATAAATAGGTACCTCATTTTGTGCATGGTGGAAAATTATGAAAAGGTGCTAGTCAGCTAGTCACATTATTGCATAAAAATATAGCTTTAACTTGTTTGTGTCCTCTCGTTTGGTTAATATATGCTACGATTTCATGTAACTTACACAAACTATTCACTTGTAGGAGGGGGGTTGGGGGAGTTACATTTTCCATGCATATTAATACCGTCACAAGGCAACATATTCAAAGATGCTTAAGTTTGGATTTCATTGTTATACCAACAAGACGGGACAAATGAGGTGACAAACTTAATGTGTAGAACTATTATAATGTTAATGGAACAGTCGTTATCCACACCTTGCAACATTTGCTGCTGGAAACAAGGCATCTTTGTTGTTGTTTTTTTTTTAGTACTGCATTGTCAGTTCAAATAATTAACCTTTGTTATAATTTCATACCAGTGCCGTAAACAGAAAAGTTACTTGTTTCTGTTTCTGTCAAATAATGTTTTATGTGTGTTTATGGGACACAGGTATGGAACACATCAACCTGTGAGTTTGTGCGCACTTTAAATGGACACAAGCGAGGGATTGCCTGCCTTCAGTACAGAGAGAGACTAGTAGTCAGTGGCAGCTCAGACAACACCATCAGGTGCATAATAGTAAACTCTTATTATTTCCGTTTGGTATCATTTAAAAAAATTTTAGGTATCAGCCGTTATCTGTGCTTTTTCTCTTTGTTATTTAACTTCTTCTTCTTCTTCTTTCGTTCGCATGAAATAAATTGTCTATATCTGCAAAGCCGTCTCTTGTATGAATTTCACTGTCTTTTTTAATTCACTAAGCGGCCCGTAAAGTTTGACTTCCACAAGTGTCTCTTTTGGCCAAATGTTTTGCCTGAAAGCGTTGAATATGGGACAGTCTTGAAGGGTGTGATCTGTTGTTTCAGGTGCCAGTCCACAAGTACACATGGCCGATTGGCCAATCTTAAATTTGTTGTACATGTGGGAGCGAAGTCTATTGTGCCCTGTTCTAAGGCGAAGGATAATAACTTGCTCTGGTCTGTCCATAATATGGTAATCATCTTGTGCCAGTTTCGGTGGCATTCTGATTGATTTGATCATTCTCTTCTTCTGTTGATAAGAGACTGGTATGTCAGGTTGTTCTTCAGTTGCACCTTCCTTAGCTAGTTTATCAGCTTTTTCGTTTCCGGGAACTCCACAGTGGGAAGGTATCCACTGCATTACTAATTTACAGCGGTTGCCTAGTTTGGATAATAGTGTCCGTATGCTTGGTAATTTTCCAGACTGGAGTGACTGAAGTACTGCTTTTGCATCTGTCAGGAATACCACTGGTTGTGAAAAATACCCTGTATTTAGTAGTTTCTCTACCGCTATCTTGATGGCTTGAACTTCTGCATCATAGTTGTGACAGTGCTTTCCCGTTGGTAATTTGGCTGTATCCCTGGTATTATTAGGATACTCAATGTACACTCCCGCACCTCCGTTTCTGACTGCGCTTTCTGCTGACCCATCTGTGTAAACACGGACCCAAAGGTTCTGCGGGTATTCATCATCAAGTAAACTGAGGGTGGCTGTTTTGCGCTGCACACTGTTTTGTTCTTCCTTGTCAAATACCCCTTTCACTTCAGTCTTGATGTGTATTGGAAACTTATACTCCTCTCTCCAGGGGGTCCGTTCTGGGACAGCATTTAAGGATCTATCAGTTGCAGGTAAATCAGTGGTTTGTCTGCCAAGCCGTTCGGCCTGGTGGATAAAACTACTTCTCTTTAGTCGTCCCAAAGCTACATTTTTGAATCTTTCATTCATAGGGTGACTGGGCATACTGAGAAACTTTTCTGCTTGTAAAAGCATCTTGGTGTCTCTGCGTTCACTTAGTGCTTGGGTCATCCCCATTTTCTCCATCACAGCTATAGGTGTTGATTTCATACTGCCTGTGGTAACTCTGAGTGCTTGATTTTGCACTTTGTCTAATTCTTGCAATGTGGTTTTTGATGCCGAACTCCATGCTGTTGATCCGTATTCAAGATGTGGTCGAACACTTTGTTGGTAAACTTTTCTAAGTATTTTCCCGCTAGCACCCCATGTGGTTCCACTTAGTTTTCTCAGAATGGCTACCCTCCTTCTGGCTTTGGTTGCTGCCTTGTTGATGTGTTTTCTCCATGTTAATCTATCATCAAACGTTACGCCGAGGTATGTGGGCTCCTTATCCTCTCTCAGGGGTACTCCATTTATGTGCATGGCGCCTGATTTTTTTTTAGGAGAAAGGGTAAAGAGAGTGGTGCTGCATTTGCCTATGTTGATGCTGACACACCATTTGTCGGCCCATTTAGCCATTGCATCTATGGCTCTTTGTAGCAGTCTGGTGGCCACTGTCGCATTTTCATTTGTACACCAGAGTACCAAGTCATCAGCATACATTGCAGCTTTAATTCCATGGGGTAGTTCAGAAAGCAGGTCGTTGATATAGACTAGGAAGAGTGTGGGGGACAGGACACCTCCTTGTGGGACGCCATGGCGCAGCAAAACTTTCTTGCTCTTAAGTCCATCTATCTGTACTCGGGATCTTCTGTTATACAAGTATGCTTTGACCCATTTGTACATACTCCCATTCACCCTGCAGTCTCTCAGTTTCTTCAGTAGACCTTCTTTCCAGACCTTGTCAAAGGCTTTCTTCAGATCTATCCATGCCGTTAGCACTAGCTTCTTTTCCTGGAAGGCATCCTCAATTTCTTGTGTCTGGTCTTCTGTGGAGTAGCACTGTCTAAATCCTGCCTGCTGCGGCGTGAAAATGTTTTCACTTTCCAAGTACCATTGGAGTCTAAGGTTGACCATACGTTCCATTGTTTTACAGAGGCAGCTGGTAAGACTGATCGGTCTATAGCTGGAGGCATCAGAACTGTCCTTTCCTGGTTTAAGCAGAGGTATTGTGATTGCTTCTCTCCATATTTGAGGAACTTTGCCACTGGTCCAACAATGATTAAAGATCTGTAGCAGCTTTATTTTGGCAGTTGTTCCAAGGTTCTTGATCATTTCGTTGGTGATTCCATCAGTTCCAGGTGATTTTCCCATTCTCAGCTTTGATATTGCTAATTCTAACTCGCTGGATGTAAATGCTGCCACCAGTGCCTCAGGAATTATATCTTTTTGTCTTGTATGTTGTTTGTTTTCTTGAACCTCTCGCTGTTTCTCTGGGCTGACATTAATGTTGCTGTCTTCTGCAAAGGAATCTGCAAAGTGGTCAGCTGCCTGTTTTCTTGTTAGGATGGCTCCCTCTTTGCACAGTGCAATATAACCATTTCTCCCTGTATTCTCATCATTAATTTGCTTAATTAACCTCCACAACTTCCTTGTGTCTCTTTCAAAGTTTAGGGACTTTGTCTTTTCCTGCCAGCTTCTCCGTCTAGCCTGCAGTTTGGCTCTTTGAAATTTGGCCTTTGAATGTTGGTAGTTGTTAAACTGCTCTTGACAAGGTCTGGTCTCAGCCTGTTTTCTTTCTGTTTCCATATTGTTGTGCAGTTGCTCCAGATCGCAATTCCAGTACGGTTTGTATTGTTTACGCGCACCTCTTGGAACTGCTTCTAGGGCTCCCTGCAGTATGTGTTTGCTCAACTCTTGGACTACTTTTTCTACGTCGTTATCTGTGTTAAGATTTTCCAGCAGAATATTTGTGCGAAGCTGATATAACTTCCAGTCTGCCTTCTTAAAATTCCACCTTGGCAGTGTGCTGCTCTCTCTTACAGACTGGTTTTCGATAGTTAGAAAGACTGGCCGGTGGTCACTGCCTCCTAGTTGCTTCCCAACAGTTCTGGTAACATTCAGTTCCATGTCTGCTGAGTGAAAGGCTAGGTCTGTTATTTAACTATCTGTTATTTCTCAAAGACATTAGTTATTCATATATGAATTTTGTATTAGTTTTTGACTGTGTTATTTATAAATGATTTCAGTGAATTGTGGTACCTTGGTATACGTTACTTTCCTGATGCTTGGGTGTATACCACACGTCTGTATGCCGAACAAATTTTCCCATAAGAAATAAAGGGAGAATGATTAATCCTTTCCCATTTAAAAAAAAAATCCTGTTGTTATTGGCATGTTATACATTGATGGGGTTGTGTAAAATAATTTATTTACTGTCTATTACTAAAATACATAAATACAAAAACATTTAAAGGAAATAAATGAAAATTCAACTGCACTTTACCTTCTTAAGAAGAGTCAAGTGCCTACTATGAGTCTACTGAAAAGGGAAGAGGAAATGTTATTGTTTGGAAAAAGAGTACCCTTTCAGTAAAACTTCAGGAATCTGAAGTTCTAGGGGTTGTTTTTTTCACGTGTTGCTTTTTTGGTTTGGTTTTTGTGTATGTCTTTTCTCTGCTTGTACCTGGCTGGGATTCATCAGGTTTGACTTTTACTAGAAGTGAAATCATTTCAAGCTGGCATAATATTGTTCACATCAGACGTTGAGTTTCAGCAGCACTTGTAAAAATACTGACCAGAGAGCCACATACCCACTACACTGCCGTGTTTAATTTTTTTGCTTTACCAGTTTTCATAAGTTTTCTTCTATTGTGAATAATTTACTTGGGTACAACTCACAAATCTCCTCTGTGATTTGGTTCATTCCCAGGGGGTGTCCTATCTTCTAGGGATGTCAGTTGTTGCTTGTTTTAAACGCTTGAAGCACATCCACTGCCAACAAGCATAGAAATACAAAAACATCAATTTGAAACTCATAAACTGTGAACCGTCATGCTTTTCCCTGCAATACTTCTCCCTTGTACACAGGTGTCCGTAGCGCTAAGCTACTCACATCAACAACACATTAGAGAAACGACAGTTGTTCATAGAAAAAAAGCTGCAGTTTCATCTGAGAGACAGTGTGTGAACCGCATCAAACGAACGTAAGCAAATTTTCGCCACAGTATGTAAAGACAGGGAAGGAAGGCATCTCATAACACCCCTAGAACATGGGGCAGCCTATTTGAACCAGCATTAAATTTTATGCCTGAACGGCATGGGGTGACTTTCTTGATTAGTACCTTTACTTGTTTAGTAAGCTGTTGCTTATGTACACAACATACATTTTTATTTAAATTGTACCTGAAAATATTTTCTATGCAGATTATGGGACATCGAGTATGGAGCATGCTTGCGGATTCTGGAAGGACACGAAGAGCTAGTCAGGTGTATTCGGTTTGACAGCAAAAGGATAGTCAGTGGAGCGTATGATGGGTAAGAGTGGCCAGATTCTTGTTCTTAGTGGCTCTTTCATTCCAAGGTTTTATAGCGAATTGGCAGTGAGCATGCAGATTATTTGGCCTACAATACAGTTAAAATGACTGTCTCTGCTGGGCTGGAGGGGGACATTTAATGCCATGCAGTATGGTTATTGCAAAGATGGCTGTGAGGTCAAGCAGGAATGAGTATCCCTGACCAGACTACTAGATGTGAGGATGCAGCATGTACCAGTCTCTTACACGAATATTTTCTATTAAGGGCACACAATGTTTTATTAATTAACACAGAATGGGCATAATCAGTCGTTTTATGCTTGTGGAGCTATTGAGGAGGAGATAGGAGCCCCTGTGGATCAGTCCGGAGTGCTGTATTACTTAAGACAATATTTTATTGATTATTCCTTGATTTCACATCCTCAAAGGTTAGAGTTCTGCTTTTTTCAAACAGTTTTAAAATGTAATGCGGTGAATAAGAATATAGTGATTTATGTGACATAGAAATTTAAAACAGTTAAAAATGTATAATAATTTGTTGCAGTGAACATATGTTTGGTATTGAATTAAGCTTGCTGTAATTTTCAGCCTTGTGAGATTTTATAATTGTGTGGGTGTGTATGTGTGCACACTCACACACATTTATGTATTGCATATATGTATATTTATGTTTAGTGTACAATAATGCTGTGTGTGTTTTTTGCAGCAAAATTAAAGTGTGGGATCTTCAGGCAGCTTTAGATCCAAGAGCGCCCGCTGCAACACTTTGTCTGAGAACCCTTGTTGTAAGTCATTAATTATAACCTTTGGTTGTTTCCCCATGGATCACCAATTTCTGCTTACAACTCAGTGTCTACCCTGCAACATTTTTCATTTATCAAGTTTACAGAGCTGCAGTAAAGCCTAATGGTTAGTGCAGTGTGCTTCACGAGACAGAGGCTGAGTTCAATCCATAGAAGATGCAGGCTTCTGTTTTCTGACCAGTACAGTTCTGAAATTGGCCAGGCCTCAAGTGGGTGCTGGAAATGCTTATAACTTTAAGGAATTGTCTTGGAAGGAAGTGAAGTAAAGGTCCCTTTGTCACGCCTTTAGCGTGCGTATTGGACATATAGGGCTAGACATATATTTTTATAGACCAATTGGCACAAGGTGGGTGATGTGGTGAGCATCACACCAGCCACCTTTGCTTCCCGGGACAGCACACAGTACCTACTCAAGGCTGGGCTGATCTGAAAGCCAAAATCATTTTTGAAAAATGTCTGGCTTTGCCAGAGAGCGAACCCACGACCTTCCGATTTGCACGCGAACGTCTAGCCACTACGCCACAGAGACTCCCTTGTCTTGGAAGGGGATGCTTTAATACTTTGTGACCTACAATATGAGAGGGCCCGACATTTCAGACCCAGATTGCAGTATTCACCATTGGGCTTTTTACTAAATTGACTGAATACATGCTATGACTAGGAAGCCTAACGAAAGGGGAAGGAAATACACACAGAAACGATCAAATGCTTTGAAAAAAGCCTTTGTCAGCAAGCACCACAACAACAGCAACAACCAAACAAGCACTTATTTTCATTACTGTTCACTTTTTTCATCACATTATCACCTGTTGGTTACTGGATTTCATAATAGATGCACACACACACAAAATCATATCACAGCCATGCATGTTATAGCTTGTAACAAAAGAGGAATCATTTTGAGATTGGCCAGCTCATTCCAGCCACTCGTGAGCATGTCAACAAAGGGCATTATGGGCTGATTAAAGTTGTGTGCTCTGTTGAGAGATGAAAGGCAGAAGAGGAAGAGAAGGTAGATTCATGTAATAGTATTTATATTGTGCTGATT